TCTCCTCGCTGCTGCATTTACCACCCAAGCTTCACATCTATATAAGAGTGTTGGTACTACTATACTTTCATACATTCCCTTCTTTGCCTCCATAGATAACGTTTTTTGACTCCACATATACCTCAATGCACCACTCACCTTTTTTCCCTCATCAATTCTATGATTAACCTCATCCTTCATAAATCCATCCGCCGACACGTCAACTCCCAAGTATCTGAAAACATTCACTTCTTCCATACTCCTCCTCCCCAATTTGATATCCAATTTTTTTTTATCTAAATCATTTGATACCCTCATCACCTTACTCTTTTCTATGTTCACTTTCAACTTTCTACCTTTACACACATTCCCAAACTCATCCACTAACCTTTGCAATGTTACTTTAGAATCTCCCATAAGCACAGTATCATCAGCAAAAAGTAACTGTGTCAATTCCCATTTTGAATTTGATTCCCCAAAATTTAATCCCACCCCTCTCCTGAACACCCTAGCATTTACTTCCTTTACAACCCCATCTATAAATATATTAAACAACCATGGTGACATTACACATCCCTGTCTAAGACCTACTTTTACCGGGAAGTAGTCTCCCTCTCTTCTACACACCCTAACCTGAGCCTCACTATCCTCATAAAAACTCTTAACAGCATTTAGTAACTTACCACCTATTCCATATACTTGCAACATCTGCCACATTGCTCCTCTATCCACTCTATCATATGCCTTTTCTAAATCCATAAATGCAATAAAAACTTCCCTACCTTTATCTAAATACTGTTCACATATATGCTTCAATGTAAACACTTGATCTACACATCCCCTATCCACTCTGAAGCCTCCCTGCTCATCCGCAATCCTACATTCTGTCTTACCTCTAATTCTTTCAATTATAACCCTACCGTATACTTTTCCTGGTATACTCAGTAAACTTATTCCCCTAGAATTTTTACAATCTCTTCTGTCCCCTTTCCCTTTATATAAAGGGACTATACATGCTCTCTGCCAATCCCTAGGTACCTTCCCCTCTTTCATACATTTATTAAACAAAAGTACCAACCACTCCAACACTATATCCCCCCCTGCTTTTAACATTTCTGTCATGATCCCATCAGTTCCAGCTGCTTTACCCCCTTTCATTCTACGTAATGCCTCACGTACCTCCCCCACACTTACATTCTGCTCTTCTTCACTCCTAAAAGATGGTATACCTCCCTGACCAGTGCATGAAATTACCGCCTCCCTTTCTTCTTCAACATTTAAAGGTTCCTCAAAATATTCTCGCCATCTACCTAATACCTCCCTCTCCCCATCTACTAACTCCCCTACTCTGTTTTTAACTGACAAATCCATACTTTCCCTAGGCTTTCTTAACTTGTTTAACTCACTCGAAAAATTTTTCTTATTTTCATTACAATTTCTTGACAGTGCCTCTCCCACTCTTTCATCTGCTCTCCTTTTGCACTCTCTCACCACTCTCTTCACCTTTCTTTTACTCTCCATATACTCTGCTCTTCTTATAACACTTCTGCTATGTAAAAACCTCTCATAAGCTACCTTTTTCTCTTTTATCACACCCTTTACTTCATCATTCCACCAATCACTCCTCTTTCCTCCTGCCCCCACCCTCCTATAACCCACAAACTTCTGCCCCACATTCTAATACTGCATTTTAAAACTATTCCAACCTCTTCAACCCCCCCCACTACTCATCTTTGCACTAGCCCACCTTTCTGCCAATAGTCGCTTATATCTCACCCGAACTTCCTTCCTCCCTTAGTTTTTTACACTTTCACCTCCCTCTTACTTGTTGTTGCCACCTTCCTCTTTTCCCATCTACCTCTTACTCTAAGTGTGTAGCTACAACTAAATAATGATCCGATATATCAGTTCCCCCCCTCTATAAACATGTACATCCTGGAGCCTACCCATAAACCTTTTATCCACCAATACATAATCTAACAAACTATTTCATTACGTGCTACATCTTTACCTTGTATATTTATTTATCCTCTTTTTCATAAAAATTGTATTACTTTTTTACCAAATTTCTTTCTACACATAGCTCAATTAAGGCTCCCCATTTACATTTACCCCTTGGCACCTCAAATTTACCTACTACTCCCTCCATACATTTTTACCCACTTTAGCATTGAAACCCCCAAACCAACCATTACTCTCACACTTGATTCAAAACTCCCCATGCATTCACTCAACATTTCCCCAGAATCTCTCTCTCTCCTCTACACTTCTCTCTTCTCCAGGTGCATACACGCTTACTATAACCCACTTTTCACATCCAATCTTTATTTTACTCCACATAATCCTTGAATTTATACATTTGTAGTCCCCTTTTCCTGCCATAGTTTATCCTTCAACATTATTGCTATTTCCTTCTTTAGCTCTAACTCTATTTGAAACCCCTGACCTAATCCCATTTATTCCTCTCCATTGAAACTCTTCCACCCCCTTCAGCTTTGTTTCACTTAAAGCCAGGACATCCAGTTTCTTCTCATTCATAACATCCACAATCATTTCTTTCTTATCATTTGCACAACATCCACGCACATTCAGACTTCCCACTTTGACAATTTTCTTCTTCTTATTCTTTTTAGTAATCTTTACAGGAAAAGGGGTTACTAGCCCATTGTTCCCGGCATTTTAGTTGACTTTTACAACACGCATGAAATGTAATTGATAAATCATTTAAAATTGCTAGAAATACTTTTTACAACCCAAAAAGGGACAACCAACCTTATTCAACTAAAAATATGTTGGTTCTCCCTTACCATGAAAACTTGGTTGATATGCCTTCTCTTCTTAAGACTTTTAATATTAAAGTTGTATTTAAAAATCTTGATACAGTAAAAAAACTTTTGATAAAGAATTCCCCTCAAAATGCTGACGGATGCGTCTATAAGATTCATTGTAAAATTTGCGATAAAGTTTATTACGGTCAAACTGGTAAAAATCTCAAACTTAGATTAAAACAATATAAATATAGTATTAGAACTGGACAAGATTCCAATGCTCTATTTATTCATGTGAGAGATTTTAACCATCCAATTGATTTTCAAAAAGTTGAGAAAGTTGTATCAAGCAAGTCTATGGTTGACAGAAATATAATTGAATCTTGTTTCATAAAAAGCAGTTTTGAAAATAATATGAATATTTCCTTAGGTTTATATAAATTAGACTCATTTATAATTAATAAAATTTGGTTAGAGTTTAATAATACATTGGACAAATAATAAACCTTATTTCTTAGGTAGAATATTTTGTTAGTGGGATGTCGTGAGGACCTGTCTAGTTGGACTAGCGGACCTACTGCAGTGTTCCTCTTTTCTTATGAGTCCGGTATTGTCGCGCGTCAGGTGTTTCTTTGTTGTGGGGGTTGACTGTGAGGTGTAGTCTAAGCTCTTTAATTGCCTTCCTTTGATGTATTACTTTCATAGTTCCTTGACAATGTGAGTAGTCACGAAACTGCTTGGAATTTCACTACTCTTTCACAGTGGTTGTTTTGCATATTTTAAAATCACCTGTTTACTGTGATCTTATTGCATTATTATTATACATATTGTTATTATTCATATTATTAGTATATATATTATATTATTATTATTATTATTATATAAATTATTTGTAATTTTTATTCACACAAAAAATGTAAGATTTACTGTTATTCCTTATTGCAATAATTGTATAAATATATCAACCCATTCACGACTGCATATTGGAATGGACAGTGACGTCATTTGTTTACACTGAAACAGCCAAGCAATGGACCATTTCTCCTAGGTTGAGCTCAATTTCAAGGAACTTTTCGTCATGAAAGCAATCAAAATCATACATATTTCTGTAATATATCTTCCATTCTATCAAATGAGACCAAAAAAAACGAGAATACAACCATAAAAACCATACGAAAATACCACTAATGGGTGGCTAATTGCTCAGAAGTGAACTCCATTATTTATGCTTAGATTTCTTTCATTTTTGGTGTACGTTAAGAAGCATCTTTCCATCATACATTGCCAAGTTTCAATAAGATAGTCCAACAAACAAATGAGATACAATTCCCAAGATCAAGAGCAAGAGCCCCTCACCAGTGTCAAGGAACCTACCTTGAGGTCTGCTTGCTTGTGGAAATTTTGCTCGCGTATGGAAGCAAAAAATTGACCCATCGACTGCTCGTAGTATTTGGAAAAACTCGCACATGGACATGCTCGCAAGTAGAGGTTCCACTGTATATATAAGTCAAACACACTGGCTCGTAAGATGTATATATGCAAAACAACCACTGTGAAAGAGTAGTGAAATTCCAAGCGCTTTCGTGGCTCCTCACATTGTCAAGGATGTACAGTGGACCCCCGGTTAACGATATTATTTCACTCCAGAAGTATGTTCAGGTGCCAGTACTGACCGAATTTATTCCCATAAGGAATATTGTGAAGTAGATTAGTCCATTTCAGACCCCCAAACATACACGTACAAATGCACTTACATAAATACACTTACATAATTGGTGGCATTTGGAGGTAATCGTTACGCGGGGGTCCACTGTATATATACGACAGAAACAGTCAAAGGATAAATACTCAATTGAACGTTTTCAGCTTTAGTCCCAAACACTATGTGTAAAGTCTTATCAATACTGAATATGAGTTTGTTGGTTGTCATCCACATAAATATTTTTATAAGCTCATCATTAACAGTGTAGATGACAACTGGATCTGGATTTGAGGTGACAAAAATTGTGTCATCTTCAAAGGATATATAGGCAAAAAAGCACAATAAAATTATACGGAAATGGTTCAGTGTGTCTGATAATTTTTACTACAGTAGAGGAGTTCACTAACGGATATTTGGAAAAAGTACCATGAAACTCAGAATTCCATAATAAATAATCAAAATAATAAAGATTTAAGAAAGCAGTTATTTAACTGAGTATCTTTTATGTTTTTAAAGTATGGTAAATACCATCAAACAATCGAATATCAAACCTGAATGTCGAAGAAAGTCACAGTGCCACCTGTAGTTGTTGAGACAAGGATAGTTGTATCTGGTACTTGTAGTCGTGAAACTTTCAACACACAATGATCCCACTCTTCAGAACACACCATCTCCAGCCTTTCTGTTTCAGTACTAAACTGAAAAATTCTATATATAAAAAAGAACTATTTAGTATGCATTATAGCAATCTTGAACTAAAGAATCAAGCTTATACAGTAGGGCCCCGCTTTACGGCGCTCCGCTAATACAGATACAGTGGAACCTCCACTAACGAGTTTAATCCGTTCCGTGACCTTGCTCGCATCTGGATTTGCTCGTTCACAGAGTCAATTTTCCTCATATAAAGTAACTGAAATGGAATTAATTCATTCCAGTGGAAATCCAGGCACCATAAATATTTCAATAATTTCCCTATATCAACTCTACAGCTTATTTATCTATCACAATTCATCTAATATGACATAAACAATTAAAAACACAAAACCTGATATTAACTCAGAATAAAAAAATATGTCATTATTACCAGGGGAAGTGGCCTAACGCCCCAGCATTTTTGGGGTAAACACTCCCATCTAGTGAAACCTTTTAAAAGGTCATTATTCAATTTTATTAAAGAAGATTACATACATGTCTATTTTTTATTATTGTTTATTATTATTATTATTATTCTTTTTTTCTTTCTTCAACACACCAGCCGTACCCCAACGGGCGGGGGGGCCCCAAAAAGGAAAAAAAACAAAATTTTCCCCTTTTTCACTTTTTAGTAAATATACAGGAGGGGTTACTAGCCCCTTGCCCCGGCTTTTTAGTCGCCTCTTACAACACCATAGTTTACGGGGGAAGAATTCTGTTCCATTTCCCCCAGGGGAATTATTATATTATATTATTATTTTTATTTTATACATTTTGGCCCTCGTTTCTCGAAAATTAACCCTTCCTGGACCCGTTACTATAAACGAAATTTACATTTACGAATCAATTTCCCCATAAAAAATAATGTAAAACAATTAATCCGTTCCTAAACCCCCAAAGTATTAAAACAAAAAATTTTTTACATGAAAATACATGTATACATAAAAAACAAGGGGAAATGATGAATAAAACTTAACATAACACTTACCTTTATTGAGATTTTTCTTATGTATGGAGACGGGAAAGAGGGAAGAGAGTGGACTTTTTATATTTTGGGAAAGGGGGAACCCCCTTTCCCATAAAACACCTCGGGTACCTTTTGTTTTTCGGGGGTTTGTTTTTTCCCTCTGTTTCTTAATGCCACAAGACCCATTGAGAGTCACTGGATCCTGTCCCGCAAAATAAAGGGGAGAAGCTCTGTTTCGGAGTTCTTTAAACATTTCCCAAAAAAGGGCCCAAGACTTTGTCACTGTACATGTTGCCACCTGGTTTCCAAAAACCCTTGTTAGGGTGTTTTTTCTCCATAAAGTTTCCACTTACCCCCCATAAAAAACTCTTTAATTTCTGAAGAAGGCACCTTTTTCCAATCTCTCTTCCTCCCCCTCGCAGCAAGTTTCTGAGTGCATGTTCTCCCCTCTGAGCTCTTCAGCTCTTCAGTGGTTTATCTTCATTGTGGTTTTCCCCCAATTCTTCCACATCCTCCAAACTCAATCCAACCCCCAGGGAACCCCCATCCACAACTGATTTTACAACAACAAGGCTCATTAGGTCGTCCCAAATCCTTCAAAATCCCTCTTTTCGCACAATCTGGCCACAATTTTTTCTCCGGGCAGAGTTCAAGTCCTGGTATCCCCCCTCCCAAAGCCTTACCTATAAGGGTTTGCAGGGAGGATGCTGAATGTTCTCTCCAAAATTCCCTTAGGTCAAGTGAGTGTCGGGTCACAGTAAACCCCTTGGGAAACATTGCTTTTGTGAGATTTTTTAAAAATTTTGCAATAACCGCTGTCCATGGGTTGGAGGAAAAGGGGTATGGGGGGGCAAGATTTTAAACTGTGATAAACCCAAATCCTCGAAAATTAGGTCACCAAGTTTGGAGATGAGCGGGTGCATTTCCATTTAGCAGGCATTTGAACCCAATTTTTCTTTTCAGGAGTTACTCCTTCAAACTGGGGCCAAACACTTCTTTAAACCCTCACGAAAATTTCCCTCGTGACCCATGCCTTACTATTAGATTTCCAAAAACAACAAATTTACTCTTCATAACATTGTTTTTCCTAAAAATCGGGTTTTTCAGAAGGTACACTAGAAATGGTTTTCATTTTGAAACCCCCACTCATTACACAGAACATTAGCGTCACCTCTCTTTCATGGGCTTGTGTCCTGGCATTGCCTTTTCCCTTGTGAAATAAAGGTCCTCTTTGGGCATTTTCTTCCAAAAGAGGCCTTTTTCGTAAAATTTGAACACTTTTTCGTTTCAGTCCTTCAGCCCTATGTACTCCGGGAATTCATGCACATATTTTTCAGCCGCCTTGTGGTCCAAACGGGCAGCCTCCCCAGCCTTACCACACGTGTAGCGTTGGTTCTTAAATCTCTCAAACCAGCCTTTCGGGCCTTTTAAATTCACTCACATCACCACTTTGCAGGAAATTTTTTTCCCAAAATCTTCATGAAAAAGCCTACCTTTTCCAAATAACGAATCATAAGGTTCTCCTCTAATGTTTCTCATTTATCCACACCAATAATAATTCTCAACCTTTCCCAGTACTGGTGATCTCTTTTTGTCAGCATAGTTATTTCCCTTTTTGCAACAAAGCATCCTTATTTCCTTTTTCTTGGCCACTAGGAACATAAGGTTGTGTAGGGTTTCTTATACTCCGGGACATTTTCGGCCACACTTGACCACTTTCATATTGTTAAAATGATGGTTTTCAAAAATCAATCGTATTTCTCCCCTTTTTTTTAAACACGGGGCTTGGCCTGGGATTTTTTTTTGGAGCCACGGTAGCTTTTTTGTTTTTTTTTTTTTTTTTTCAACAAATTGGCGCCCCCCCGAGGAGGTGACCCAAAAAAGAAAGAAAATCCCCAAAAAGAAAATCTTTCATCAATTTTCAAGATTTTCACCACACTCAAAACTTATCACTGCTTTTGCAGAGGTGCTCAATACAACAGTTTAAAGCATATGCTATAAAGATACAAACAATCCCCCCAAACTACCAAATCCCAAACCCTCCTTTAAAAGTGCAGGCTTGTATTTCCCCTTTTCCGGGACCAAGTCCGACTTAAAAAAATAACCGGTTTTTCCCTAACCCCCTTTCACTAAATATTACCCTGCCACACCCCAACAGATCGCAGTCCCAAGTATCATTCGTTCCCTTTCACCCCAATATAACACGCCAGCACGCTTCGGGAAGTCCAGCCCCTACCCAAAAAACCTCCTTTACCCCGTCTTTCCCCCCCTTTCGAGGACCCCCCTACCCCTTTTTCCTTCCCCATAGTTTATATGCTTTCCATGTCATTCTATTTGATCATTCTCTCTAAATGACCAACCACCTCAAAAAAACCCCTCTTCTGCCCTCTGACTAAGCTTTTATTAACCCCACACCTTCTCCTAATTTCCACACTCCGAATTTTCTGCTAATATTTACACCACACATTGCCCTTAAACGGGGACATCCCCCATGCCCCAAACCTCCCCTCCTGCTGCATTTACTACCCAAGCTTCACTCCATATAAGAGTTTTGGACTATATACTTTCATACATTCCCTTCTTTGCCCCATAGATAACGTTTTTTGACTCCACATATGCCTCAACGCACCACTCCCCCTTTTTTCCCCTCTCAATTCTAGATTAACCTCATTTAAAAAACCCATCCGCCACACGTAACTCCCAAGATCTGAAAAAATTCACTTCTTCCATACTCCTCCTCCCCAATTTGTTTCCCAAATTTTTTTCTTTATCTAATCATTTGATACCCTCAACATTTTTCTCTTTTCTATGTTCACTTTAAATTTTTCTACCTTTACACACATTCTAAAAACTCACCACTAACCTTTGAAATTTTTTTTTTTAGAATCTCCCAAACACAGTATCATCAAAAAAAGTAACTGTGTAAATTCCCCCATTTGAATTTATTCCCCATAATTTAACCCCCCCCTCTCCCAAACACCCACATTTACTTCTTTTACAACCCCATCTATAAATATATTAAACAACCATGGTGACTTTACACATCCCTTTTAAGACCTCTTTACCGGGAAGTATTCTCCCTTCTTTAAAACACCCTAACCTGGCCTCATTTCCTCAAAAAGCTCTTTTCAGCATTTTTAACTTACCCCCTATTCCCTAAAATTGCAACTCTCCCCATTGCTCCTTACCACTCTATCATATGCCTTTTTTAAATCCTAAATGCAAAAAAACTTCCCTACCTTTATAAAACTGTTCACATAATTTAGTACTTGCAAGCCTAAAATAAATGGAAAATTATGAAAATTTCGCTGGGGCCGTGAGGGGGCCTCGCTCATTGGTAACAATGCCAGACTGGCTGCCGCCCCGGGTCACGCCGTGGGTAAGCGTCCCGGGCAAACTACGACCGGAGTCAAAACCCATAAAATGATCCCTGTTTTTTTAAAGAAAAACCCCTATGATTGGTGAAATTTTCGATTGCCGGGAAATACAAAAAAACAGGGGGCCACTGTACTATTATTATACATATTTTTTATACATTATTATTATTATTATTTTATTTTTATTATTATTATTGTTATTTTTATTATTATTATTATTATTTTTATTTTATAAATTTTTATTATTATTACAATAAAATAATTTGGGGAATTTTTTTTCAAACAAAAAAAAAAAAGATTTACGTTAAGCAGCTTCGCATTATTTTAATACTAATTTAAAAATAATTCAATCCTTCATGACTGCATATTGGGAAGGGACCAAAAGAGACCCAAAAAACGAGAATACAACCAAAAAACCATACAAAAAAATGCAAAAAGGGGGGCTAATTTTTTGAGAAGTGAACTCCCTTTTTATGGTTTCCAAATTTCTTTCATTTTTGGTGTAGTTAAGAAGCATCTTTACCCAAACATTGCCCAATTTTTAAAAAGAAGTCCAACAAACAAATGGGTCCAAATTTCCCCAGGGCAAGAGCAAGAGCCCCTCACCCGCTCAAAAAACCTCCTTTTGGGCCCCTGTTAGGAAATTTTTGCTTGCTATGGAACAAAAAAAT